TCAAAATAAATTAAGCTCCATCCTAGCAAAATATTTGTCAACTTTTCTTTTGTGTAACTAATATTTTTTGGTTACATTTGATAGAACTGAATTCTAAATTTATTGTATTCTTAGCTCATTGCTCTTATATTCGACAACCGAATTATATAGATGGTTCGACTCATTTACAAACAAAATAATTTTTTTACATTTAGGTATCACTTAACCGCATTATACAACCTCTAATACAAAAATCACACTTCTTTGTTAGAGGTATAACAATCCACCTGGTTCGACTGTCGAAACTCAAGATTTCTCCATTGCTCGCTCCACCTCCTTGATCACCATTTTCTTCTTTATATTTGATTGCAAACAAGAACCAATAAGGCAACAAGTAAAAAACAAAAATATTAAAAAAAAAAAAAAAAGGTGATGAAGTTTCACAGTTAGGCCCAACTTATGCTCAAGTGTACACATAAACATTCTGGATTTGGGTCAAATTGTAGGAAAGTTCCTCAAAAGTCCAGCCCATTTGAAAAAAATTTAAAACTGTAAAATAGAAAGCCCCCGGCGAGGATCGAACTCGCGACCTTTCGCTTACGAAGCGAACGCACTACCACTATGCTACGGAGGCTGATTGTTGATTGTTTACTTTATAATTAATTAATGAAATACATAATCATTAATTTGCAAATGACTATTTTTTTTTCCTTCCAAACTACGCAATCATTAGTTGACCATTAGCAAAATTAATTTTCCGGATTTAATCGGTAACCTAATGTGCAAATGGTTGTATTAGAAAAATAAAAATAAAAGTGCAAGTGGTTGGAAAATTGTTGATTTGTGCGAGGTTAGTTGGAACATGGAAGCTATGCAATGTTTTGCTAATAATCCTTTGAATCCAATACCAACGGCTAATAGAACAACATTCATTTTCAAACCTTTCAACCAATCAATACAACCCTAGAGACTGGTTTTAGTTAGAACTCGAGCAGTTTCTTGAAAACTCATCTTCAGATAAGAAAATATGATATGATCAACCCACACTTAACATGTTTGAAAGGGAAGTGGAAAGTGGAGAGGGAAGAAAAAACAGGATCTTATATGTTGATTTCAAATACAATTTTTTTTTTTAAGGACTTTTACAAGTTAACTTCTTTACAAAACCCAGCATTAAGAACTGTAGATCTTACACACAATTTATTATGTTGCTTTGCTCGCGAGCTAGCTGCTGCCTCACCAATAACGATTTCGTTAACCAGGTCCTTGAAGATCAATCGTTCAACATCTAACACTACTCCGGACGTGTCACCATGGAAAAACTGTCCAGCTTTCTGACCGGTTTGCACCACATCCTCCCACAGTATGTTTTTCAAACCATCATCCTCGTCCTCTAAGCTGCACTCCGGTTTCTTGGCTTGCAATTGTTCTATCTCGCTAGACAGTTCCTTCAGAAGCTTTTGTGCGTTGAGGGTCTTCTTTGCGAGCTTGTCAGTCTTCAACCATGGCTCGGGAGCAAATAATGGGGTCATAATATCAACCAAAAAGCTTTATTGGGCCATCTCATCAAGCACCTAGTAGGTACCTGCCAATTCCTGTTAACATATGCCGAAAGTTTATGCCAACATATATCGACAACTATTCTTACTTGCAGAAGCTTGTGAAGGGTAGATGCAGGATATTATGGAGTAATGTTGAAAACTGCCAAGGCTTTTTAACTAAAGTATTTCATGCATGAAGAGAAAAAAGAAAGACAAATGTGATAGAAGAAAATAGAAGAAGTACAGGAAAAGAAGGTTGTGATTTAGTTTGTTTTTGTTGTCTATACGGGTCAAATACAATATACAAACAAATATACATGAGATTTTTGAAGTTATTGGAGACAAGGACAACCAATGACCCTATGCTGGCTCCGCCATTGACGGGATGGATACCAGCTGAATCCAACTTGTGAACAAGAATCTCATTGACAGCGTAAAATATGAGTTTTCGATGAGATTTCTCTCTCTCTTGCTTCGCAAGGGTTACCTTATCAGGGCTGCATTCTTCTTTTGCAAGCAAACTGCTTGCCTTGGTTTGCTCCAAAACATAGAACAACACAGGGTTGATGGGGATGGCCTGAGGGATGGAGCTGAAATGTTGTCAAGCTGGAGCCGAGGTCTCTGAGTAGGAGGCCTGAAGCTAACAATATCTCAGAAATGTATCTATGGTCTGGATTTGTGTTCTGGCAGAGCGATGCAATATAGTCTGTTCTTGCTTCATCGTGATTATAGTTCAATCGTCTAAGCTTCTGAACTAAGTTTTCAAAGTTCTTCAATTTCATACGATTGATTTCTGATGTAAGACCAGATCCCTTGCTGTCAAGCTTATCTGCAGGATTCCATTGATCTTCACCTTCGCTGTGGTTGGAATCTTCGGCACCATTGCCTGTATTCCAAATAAGTATTTAAGTCGGATTTCATGACCACTAATTCAACTCTATCTAATCTTTCTAGTGAGATTGAGGTTCAAAATAACGTATTCTCTTCTAAAGGTTCAACTGTACCTTGAAGGGCATTCGGCATCTGCTTTACGAGAGATGCTGCATCATCTCTATATACTGAGACATCAAGAACAGACACCGGACTAGGATGTACTGGACCAACTGTAGCAAGTTCAGCAACAGATCCATATTCTTCCAACCTTGGACTTGATTTCTGAAATGTTACAAAAATAATATGCATATATAAAGTTACAAACTAAATTTTTCAAAAAGGATGAGTGGAAACGGAAGTTTAAAACACCTACTTGCTGCATTGAACCAGAAGCCAAATACTTGGCAGCTTTCAATGATGGACTCTGGTGCCATGAACCAGCAGTCAAGAAATTTTCGTACATGGTTTACGCAATTGGCCGGTCGGTAAGGAATTTTAGGTTGCTGGGTTAGGATTCTGGGGTCAGGACTATTGTTAGTGTGGGAAAATAAGAGCTTATTGGGGTCACTTGCATCCATTGACCCCGCCCTAACTCCATTACTAGATTCAAACCTAGCACGCCTCATCCAGAGGTAGAGATCATCTTAATCATGGATTGGAGTACATAAATGGATTCCGGATTTGATCTGTTCAATGAGATAATGAGACAAAGACACAATAATCAGATCGTACTAAACTTTTTTGCGCATCCCTGATAATTGTGTTGTTGTGCCTGGCCTGTGAGGGCTCTCAGCCACATGAATAATTCAATGTGCTCATCAGCGCCTGACCCTGAGATGTGGATCATCCAAGGCACATTAGCATGGCGTACTTCTCCTGTTCGAACCAGGGTTTGAAACCAAACTTCTACTCAGGAGGATAGATGGGGCGATTCAGGTGAGATCCAACGTAAATCCAACTTTCTATTCACTAGTGGGATACAGGCGGTTCGGGAGGGACCACCACGGCTCCTCTATTCTTGAGACTCCATACATCCATTTTCAGATATGGACAGTTATCTCTTGAGCATAGGTTTAGGTTCGGCCTCAATGGGAAAATAAAATGGAGCACCTACAAGCGGGTGATGAAACAACACATGAATTAAACACAATGTAAACAAGAATACTCTTCTACTCTGGTATGTCACATGAAACACATAACCAGATGAACGTACATGATACAAATAAAGAATTTGGTTTACAAAATTCATCAGCTAACTCTACGAAAATACAGGATTTCACTACCTAACCCGACACACGCTCTATCTGTATGCTTGGTAAACAAAAACTGAAACCTAACAACAACAAAAAACAAATCATACTATTACAGGTTAAGTGAAACTTGCGCCGTAAGGAAGTAAAAACATCAAGGACCCGAGGCACAAGATTGGCTTCTGAAGAAGGAATGATACGGGATAAACTGAAGATTGAGTGATCTCTCTCTCTTCATTTTTTTTTGTACATGAAGCAAATCCTCTTGCTGTTTTTCCTTTCCTGAATTTTTGAGTGCATATTTCAGCACTAGACCCCGGGCATGAATTCAATTCAAATTCCGGGGCAGCAGCACCTTTCGTATTCTTCTTTCTCTTCCTATTACTCAATTCTCCATGAGGCTGTGTGTGAGAGATTGGAGCTTTTGCTAGTCCTTCAAGCATCCGACCAGCTCACAGCTTATCTTTTTGCAACATGATCTTCATGCCGAAGCACTCTGTGCAGTCCCGCATATCCCTTACCCTCTCAGGTGGCGGTTGTGCTATATTTTCTACCTTACTCTCACTGTCCTCTTCATGCAGATTTCTAGCCTGTGGCCCCGATGTGAATCCACCATCAACTTCGAGCCAGCCCCACCGTTACTCATCTGAGAAGCATGTAACAACGGTGTATTTTCAGGTCTGGCCAGGGCCAAAAGAGGACTGCGGACAAACTGATTCGCTGAATCTTCTTACGAGTTCATCGTTCATCCTCTCTCGTACTCACTGAATAACAACCTCCAAATGAAAGGGGCTTTCCTCAATGCATATAACGGCAACGAGGTACGGTTTTTCATTGAACAATTGTCATATCAAAATTTGAAACCATACATACGATATGAACACTTTATGTGAATTTCTGTAACCAATTGTGATCATCTAGGGTTTTGGTGACATCTCGTTCGACGACTTTGTGCAGATGGAACAAGAGTTGAACAATACGATGGAAGATTTGAGCCGGAAAAGGGTAGCAAACAGCGATCTAACGACAAGAGTATGCGATCTTGATGAGACCCAAGGCAGTAAGTCAAGCTACGGATTCTGATACACAAATGAAGGTCCTTGGGTCCATGATTGCATAGTACAAGAGATCCATATTCCGGGAGGAGGAGATTCAAACTCGCCATCCCGGGTGAGAGGTAAATGTTCTTCACCGTGTGAGTTACATACGCGGTGAAGAAACATCAACACATTAGCACACTATAAACAGGAGTCTGCTAAGTCGTATGAAACATATAACCAACTAATCGAACACAATAAGAATATCGCTTATATATAAAACCCGTACATAACTAGAACGAAGAATTATGCCAACAAAATTCAGTAGCAAACTCTTTGAAGATGTCGTATTTCTTACCTAAGTTGAATAAAACACTATATACTTCTAGCTCTGTATGCTTGGTAAACAAAAACTGAAACAAAACAATGAATCATACTTTTACAAGTTAGAATTGCACCGTTAGGAAGCAAAAAACATCGAAGGATCCAGGGTACAAGAGAGGCTTCTCAAGATGGAGCTGCCAAACAATTTTATCTTGGCTGGGAGCAAAAAGGTTCCATGTGGGTTGCCAAAACAACATACACAATTATTCATTGCCATATTTTGGTACAAAAAGAGGTGAATTAGAACTGAAAAATCGACCCACGAACCCGTTTCCTGCGTAACTTTAGCCAACTGCAACTCCGCCTGCCAGTAATGGTATCAATTTTTGGGTGACACTGCTTGATCCTCTATAACTTGACGATAAAATATCCATGAACGACTTTTTGTTGTTATGGGGCGTTGACCAAATGGATGCTGCTTGACGTATTCTTGAACATTTTGAGCCTCAACTAATCTTTCCAGATAATAACGAATATCGCCTCCTTCCCCTGTGATGACAAATGAGCAAAAGACAAGAAGCCGTAATAAAACACCTGGACGCTAAAATTTGACACCACTAACATTGTAAATACTTAGAAGTACAAGCAAGTACTACTTAGAGAAGTAAACAAGAACGTCGAGGTTGAGGATGGATAAACTGAAAATTACGAACTCAAACACAAAGCTGTGAAGCCACACAAACGCGCATAATACTTGAAAGACATAATGACAAGAATAGGTCCAAACCTGAATCAAATTATAACCTACGTAATTATTTTAACTGAGATCGACTATGTGTAATGCAATTGTGAATGAGGCTAGAATGTGTGATATAGGTGCATCCAATGATCTTACATTTCCAATACAATAAAAACTTGAATGGTATCTCACCTAGTGATCCATCTCTTCGATCCTTGAATCGAAAGGGGTAGGGAAATATTGCTGTGTTCTCCTAAGCAATCAGAAACAAAAGTATTAGTTTCAGGTTGTAACCGTTGTACCAAAACCAGTAATGTCCATGAGTGAAGAAATAAGGAGGAACGAGTTAATCAACTAACTGGATTGCATAAAGCTTTGTATGGTGAATCATCCACTAATAATGTGTTTGTCTCGTTGTACTCTCCCCTCGCCCAAGGAAGATCAGGATCGTGCTTCTCCCATAACTTTTTAAGTTCTTTCAAAACAAGGGGTTTTTCCTCGTTGTCAAGAGTATTGTACTTCGTAGTAGTACAGTGGGATTGATTCTGCACACGCCAATCACCGTAAGAATAAAGCAATAGAACTGAAATTCAATGCAATGATGAATTGATTGCATCCAAAATACAAGTTCTACAAATTGCTAAAGTAACACTGAATTACTTTACTGAATAAGTCCTTAAGTGGTTAAGATGGTTTTACCCAGCAAAAAAGCAATTTCTTTCTGGAATCTCCCCAAAGATAATCTACCACCATTTCCACGTTCTTCCTGAAAAGGCAAGTGTAAAAGATCATAACCCAACCAAAAAAAGAAATGAGAGAAGGAACAGGTGTATCAGTCCTAGAATGAAGTTTACTCGGTTCTTGAAGACCAAACACCCACGTTAAAATTGTCAAAGCAGAATTGTAGAAAAGAATCACAACACGGCCTCTTAAAAACTGTGAAAAAACAAGTGGGGATTAGATTTCAGTAAGGGTAGAAAAGTATCTCTCCAGATACATTCAAATGTAAATTATCATCACCTGATTTCCTTGATATTGTTGTGTCTGGTCTATATAATTTATATTGCTCGGAAACCAATTGAACAATATCAGCAAGAAGGCCGTTTACATCAAGAATGAGAAGCTTTTTCTTAGAAACACTAACAAGAGGTCTTTCAACAGCAGAGTTTGATATCTGTGAACGACTGCCCTCCTTCGCGACAGCAGCCAAATCAACATCAGCTTTTACGGATGAAGATGGCAAGGAAGGAACTTCAATTTTGGTTTCCGTGCGTTCTGTATCAGTAATATTGTCAGATTCAGGAAAAGCATCTGAACAATATGATTTAGTGCCACTAACCTCCATGTCAATTTTATTCCTTGAACCAGCATCTGCACTCTTTTGTAGACCATTTTGTTCCTTGAGGATAGGAGAATATTTTTTTATATCAGTAACATTGTTTACAACTTGGCCAGGAAAGCCAGTGCAAACTTGGTGGTTAGTGTCGTTATTTCCTGAGGCATTACAGCTCTTGTTCTGATCCTTGTCCTCATTTTGCTCCCGTAAAGTCTTTTCCTCCAAAAGTAATTGAGACACATCTAGCTCTGGGTCTGATACTATTGTAAGCGGAGGCTGTGGAGATGGATCTGCACCTCGAATAATCTTCTCCACTAAAGTACCAACAGAAGGATCACAACTTGTATCATTACTCCCACCCATTTCAAGCCTTTTCTTCCGACACTCTCTCTTTTGTGAGCAACTCAAAACTTCAAAGGGTTTGGTACTCTCAGAATTGGTTCTCTGTCTAATTCCCTCCACAAGTGGTTGTTCCACTTCTAGATCTTGTTCCGAGAACACTGCAACTGGAGGCCGTACAGTCAGATCTACTCCTGGCATAGTATTTCCTACTAAAGAAGCATCAATAGAAAGATCACATCTTTCATCAATACACTCATTGGTTTTATGCCTTCTCTTTCGATTCTTATTCTTCTGTTCTTGTGACCAACTCAAGTCCACAGTAGGTGACTTGGGACCTTCTGAGCTTACTGTCGTGCAATTTCCCTCCACAAATGCTTGTGGCAAATCTACTTTTTCATTTGAGAATTCTGATTCTGGAGGCTGCTGAGCTATTCCTGGCATAATACTTTCCACTAAAGAAATACCAACTGAAAGCTCACCACTTTTGTCATTACCACAACTTTCATCATTAGACTTTTTCCACCGAAGCTTTTTCTGCTTTTTGCTTGAGGAACTCAGATCTTCAATAGGTTCAGAATTTTCTGAATTAATTTTCATACTAATTCCTTCCATAAGTGGTTGGGTCAATTCGAGCTTTTGTTCCAATGATTCTGAGACTGGAGGCTGTTGAGACGGATCTAGTCCTGGCATAACACTTTCCACTACAGAAATACCAACAGAAAGCTCACAACTTTCGTCATTACCACAATTTTCATCATTACCCTCACGGGTTTTACTTTTACAACTTTTCTTCTTTTTCATTGAGCAACTCAAATCTTCAATAGGTTCAGCAATTTTTGAGTTTTCATCTGTGCTACTTCCCTCCATAGGTGGTTGTGACATTGCCACCTGTAGCACTTGTTCGGAGAATCCTGCAACAGAAGGCTCTACAGACTGGTCTACTGTTGGAATAATAGTTTCCCCTAACGAAGTATCAACAGAAATATCACAACTTTTATCATTATTCTCATGGATTTCATGCTTTTTATTCTGCTTATTTCTCTTCTTTTTTTGGTTGTGAAGCAAATCTTCTTGATGTCCTTCCTTTTCTGAAACTGCCGTGCAAATTTCAGCACAAGACTCAGGGCATGAATCTTCAGATTCTGGGGCAACACTTATCGTATCCTTCTTCTTTCTCTTCCTATTACTCAAGTCTCCATGAGGCGGTAACTCAGCTGGTACCAAATCTGAAACGATACTCATTGAAGGATCCTCCAACAGTGTATCAGTCCCAAGTGAAGAATCCTGATGTGCATCCCTACCCAACGACTGCACACAAGAATTTTTTTCAGGAGTAATACTCTCAACTGAAAGTGTCCCCTTCAAACAACAGAGATCTGAATCATCAGGACTTGGGGAATGGCTTCTCTGCACATTATGCAGGGATTCCACCGGATTTACCAGAATTTCCAAGGCATGCACTGGAGCTGAATCTGTATTATCACTTAAATCAAGATCTAAATTATTAATAACTATAGCACTACTACTCCTAGCTCTATTCCGCTGTCTCTTCGGCAGTACAGAAGGCAGGGCTTCAGCTAGAGGCAAATCTGCACTAAGATTTACTGAAGGCTCCTCCAACAGAGGATCGTTCCTGGACTCGCTGAGCTTCTCTGAGTCCTCCCTTCCTGACTGTGAATTTGGTTTTTCACTACACTCTGCAGTTTCCATATTGATCAGTAGCTAATGACTGGGGAAATCTTCTCCTTGGATCCAAGCATTGTCAACTAAAATTGTCTTCACAATAATTTTTCTAACACCCAAAAAAATGGTCAACATAAACAAAAAATCAGATTTGTAAGACATTTATGCATTTTCCACAAGTAATAAAGAAAAATTAGCTAATTCATTAAAATAGAGATATAACATCCGGAAACCAATATCATTAAACGCATGCTTGGATTTCAAATTTCATATCGAATTGAATGCAATTAAAAAGTCATAATAAAGTAGTAAATGAATCAGTCCAGAGTGTATATTCATATAAGCATAAAACCTGTAACTGTAGGTTGTTATATGCATATTCAGTTAAAATCACTATCGTCATATAAATTAAACAAGATAGCAAATGATAAAAGGAATAAACTGAACTAAAGAATCCATGGAGCTGATAAACTTCTACCTGACGACCAACCTCCGCTACTACTAAGAGACTTAATTCTTCAGCAGTCATATAACAATGGGATTAAGTAATTTGCTTCACATAAAAACGGAATTAAGTGTTTGCTTCGCATTAACAAAGGGATTAAGTAATTTGCTTATTCTAATAAAGAATTTGAAACTTTGTAACATTAAAAGTCTGAAAATTGCACTCAATCAGCTGATACACACAGGAGTGAGATGGGATTAAGTAATTTTCTTCATGTTAACATTGGGATTAAGTACTTTTCTTATCCTAATGAAGAATTTGATCCAGATTGAAAACCCGAAAATCGCATTCAGTCAGCTGATATGCCCAGAATTGAGCACCCAAGAAAATGCATTCACAAACAATCAATCAATCAAATCAACAGTTCAAAATTCATTTCAAAGCAATAACAGAATCACCATTCAGAAGCAAATCAACAACAGAGAGAAATAAAAACAAGATAATCTGACCCGAAGAAAACAGGATTGGGATTAGTAAACCAAAAACGCAATTAATTCGTCAATTAATTAAACATTTATCAGACATCTCAAATAATGAAGAAAATAGTAGTCAACGGAGCACCGACCTCTGTTCAATCGGCAGTATCAGTACGAAGCAGATCTCTGACGGCGGAATTAACGGAAGCCGCGGAGGAGCAACCGAATTGGCGGCGGAGAGAAGAAGCAGAAGAAGAGAGGAAAATGAATGAGGCGGCGGAGGGAGTTGAAGCGGCGGCGAGTTGGGTGATGAGGTGCTGGTACAATTGGCAATTGGACTTCCTAACTGCTTTTCGCTTCGTTCGACGCGCGGTTACCTATTGTCCTGTTCGCATGGGTGGGTAATTTCGTCATTTTACTCAAAGTTAATTTTTGGTTTTATGGGGCCGAATTAATTTCTGCACCGGCCATATTTATTGTTCTATTCAGCCTAGTTTTCTGCTAATGGGCTGCTGATAAGGTCTCATTTGGCCCAAATTGTTATTTTTAGGGCAAGGGCCCAAATGTAGATACATTCCCACGAGTTTCTTCTCACCCCCGTATTTTTATTTTACATGTGAACGGTTAAGATTTAATTAATTGAGCGAAGAATAATGTGCGGGCAAGAATTTCCATATTCCCTACATACAACCCGAAACTAACCATGGAGGGTAATACACGTGGTGTTGAGAGTCAGATTGAATAGGTGTAAAAGTACTACATGTGGCAGATTATTATTGGCCAGACTTGAGAAATCCCTAACAAATGAATCGAGGTCCAATCCGGATTTCTGTATCCTCATTAGCCTATTACACTGACTCACTTTACATAAACTTAAAGTCTTAAACTGCCCAGATATATTTTTCTCTCTTGAACGGGCTTGATCTTTCGATACACAAACTCTGCACCTTGAGATTTGGATTGGAACTCATTCCCAACAAGTGGGTCCTTGCTGCCAACAAGGACGAAATCGTTATATTACTTGCCACGTAAGCATGGTTGCCATCTTTTTAATAGAATTATGTGAGATACTAAATATGAGAAATTTTTCCAGTATGCTAGGAGTACAGTTTGGAACATAAAATGTTATAATATAATTGGTTGGAAATAATTTTTCTAAAATTTTCAAGTAATTGTATTATTATACTTGTACCGAGCCATATTTCCCGCACACTAAAATTTTTATCAATAAATTCACCTTTTTTTATTAAAAAAAAAAAAATGAGACAACTGGTGGCAAGTCACAGTTAATCCCTTGACCACAAGTCTGACTTCCCCACACCAGCAGTGAATTTCGAACCTGAAATCTCTAGTGTTTAATTTAAAAAAAATCTCGTAATCTGTCATTTACTACTGGTCTACTAGCCATTATTTCAATAACTTCTCCTTTTAAGTAATTTGAATTAAAGTAAAATATATAGCTTAACTTAGAAAAACGAATCCATTCCGAAAATATCTTCTCATTGTGGGCCCCAGCGCATGCGATTTGAATTTCAGTATAAATATAGAAAGTTGCCGCTTGCTTTACTACTCAGTGCTCTTGCGACTCAGATCTGAAGTCCAAACAACGCAACGCACCCACAGGTAACTCTCTCTCCCCCTCTCTCTCGCTACCTACTGTTTGTTTCCCGAGAAAATGCAGGAAAATGTGCTATGAAATCATCTGAAATTAGCTGATTGGAATAATTTACTCTTGATTTGGTGAATCTGTATCGGAATTTTACATTTGTGCTGTTTATTTTTCTGTTATGATCTTCTGAACATTGTGCATTTCCTTTGCTTAATGTCGATTCTTATTGATTTAGCTACAACTTTTCAGATTGCAGATGCGTGAGTTTGTTTAATTAAGCTGATTAATTTCAAATTTTCAATAGCTTGAATCGATCTTTCATTACTGTTTTCGGGTCAGATTTCGCATTCAATTTGACCGAGAAATGGAATTTCGTGTACAATTAGTAGTTTGATATGAGATCTCCGAGTTGCATTATTAGCAAGGTTGGGTTTTAATCATTTTTAATTTAATGGAAAATATGAATTTCTAGATCTGGAAACATGAATTGTGGCGTAAAAGCACAAATTGTATCGGAGATAATCCCCGGAAAATGGAAATTGATTTGAACGGTGTAACGTGAGACGGTATTTTCTTGCTTTCTTTGTGATTCATGCGATCCCAATTACTTTTTGGTTGGTATTGCTTTGTGTTACTTTCATTCGTTGTTATTTAATTGGTTGAGAAAATGTGTGCAGTATCCATTCATTCGAGGCGAGGAACATGGGTCGCGGAGTCAGCAGCGGAGGTGGGGAGAGTTCTTTGGGCTACCTGTTTGGGGGTGGAGAAGAAACTCAGACTCCTGTCCCGAAAAAGGTTACAGCTCCTCAGAACCAGGCCCCGGTTGCAACCACTGAATCACCTGCTCAGAAGCCTACTGCTTCCGCACCACCTGCAGAAGTCAATAAGGAGATTCCTGCTGGCGTTCCTGGGAACACCTCAAACAACTATTTCCGAGCTGATGGCCAGAACTGCGGGAACTTCATCACAGTATGATCTTTGTTCATAGTCATGTTTTGCTCTAAATCATATATCAATGCATGAAATTTTATAGATTGTTCTGTCTCCATTTCGGTAGAAATTTATTCACCTACATTTTTGTCTCCCTCGTGAATAGGTTGTTCGCAGTCTGTAATTCGCAGATTTGCATACTTTCTGATGTTAGGAAGGAAGTTTAAATGCTCTTTCTCTTAAACTTTTGCCACCCCTTAAGTTTTGGTATTCACGGTTTCAAAATTTGGTTGACAGGATCGCCCATCAACAAAAGTGCACGCAGCTCCGGGTGGTGGATCATCCCTAGACTACCTGTTTGGAGCTGGTGGTGGCGGCAAGTGAAACCTCACGCCGCTGAAGTTGGAATCGTCAGTTTGGCGTGGATTTGGACCCTCTGTAGACGATTTCTCCTGTAACATTCTAGCACTTCCTCTGGCGGGGATTTGTTGGGTTTAAGCTTTTATGCTGCTAAAACTTTTGAGTTAAGTTGGCCGATAATATAATCGTTCCCAATTGCACTACATGTTATACGAGTTTCTCAGATTCTATTTGGAAGGAAAGAAGCACACAAGAAGCGTTTCTCCATTTTTGTGCTCAAAATTTGTACAGGGTTCTTGAAAAACACCTCCGGGACAAACCTTTTTTCTCCCCTACATGGGGTAAATTCATGTCCCGAAAAAGTACAAATATAAAGCCAGAGAAATTATCCAGGTAACTAATTTCCATCTAACAGAGACTGTAAACGATAACAAGAAAAGTAAAATTTAAGCTAAATTTTCACATCTCATGGAGATTAAACCTAAAAGAGTCACCAAACTTCTTATAAGCAAAAGCCGCCTCTTTTTTTCCCTTTCAATTGGGAGTAGGGCCTAATTGAGAATTCGCCGGAGTTTTGATGAGCACTATAAACTAGAGTTTTTGACTTACGACTGTTATAGGAGGTTTGCAGATACCACCGGTAGGAAAATTCTGTATCTCCCGTCATAGGCATCTATGATCTCCTTCACATGATGAATGTACAGATAGCCGGTGGCTTTTCATTTCTGGTTATGTTCAGAAGCCAATCCTCAACCAAATTCTTTCAAATGGATGCTGCGTCATTCTGTCCATCCGGTGTTAGTTTCCCGTCACCTGCCAGCAGAACATTAGACGGCCAAGAAGATCAGTAAGAGACGATGGTACAGGTTGCTTTGGCAATTGGCATAACTTGTTACAGTAATCATAAGCATTTGCATACAATGCTAATGAACCCGTAGCAAACCAAATACGTCATAAATCTCATTACATTCCTACCTTGGTTTAGGGATGAAGCAGCAGCGGAATTAGCTGAGGCAGACAAACTTTCCTTTGCAACTTCAGAGTTGAAATTTGGCGCATCAGATGTCCTATGAGTCCTGATGTCTCCCAGAACTTCAGAGTTGGAGTTTGGACCATCATTGGTCTGATTTTTTCCCAGATTCAAAGGAACCACTGACGGAACCACTGACTGCTCAGGGTTTCCAGTAACCTGCATAAGAGTCCAGGGGTTTAGGTCGAAAATATATCCTACAACAGATAGCATTCAGTGTGCACAGGACAAACAAAACAAATTTCTAGCCCTCTATCTGTTCAAGACACGGGAAAGAAGGATCAGACCTTATGCAAATGAGAAGGGGCCGAATATGCTTGATTGTTTGAAATGGAACCTGCAGCGGCTTCTGTCTGCTCATTCAATATGGGCGCCTTTCCATGAACATTATCCCTTAGATCTATTATTTCTTGCCTGATGCCTCTAGAAGTTTTTGATTTGCTGCTGTAATCACCATTTGACATCAAACCACCAGCTTCACCGGCAGCCCGCTTCCTGATAAGGGATTTACATGATCAAAGTTGAATCAAAATATTCTAGGATAACGCGGTATAGTGATTGATATTCAAGTATACAAGTAATAATCCTCAGCAAAACACACACAGAGATCACCATTTTCTTACCTGCTGGAACTAGGAATATCAATGTTAAACCCTGGCTGGTTGGGAAACACTATACCACGAAGAAGCTTTCCATCCATAACAGTTTCAATTGCGTATCCATCAGCAAGTTTGTCAGTAACCTTTCCAACAAATGTCTTCTTCCCCGAATCAAGCTCGGATTGATTCGATGGGATATCCTGTCTGCCTGCAGCTATAGCACAAGATCATTTGTGAAAGACAACAAAATCCCTCCTCAAAGTACATATTCAACCAGTGATTTTTTTCTTTTTTCTTTCGGTTACATTTTTTTTTTTTTTTTCATTTTTCTGTTTGCTGAATACATTAACTTGGTCACAATGACTGCTTTCATTAAAATTATGAAATTTGTATTCATGAAGAATATTGGATAGTGACAAAAAATAAAAAAAAATAATAAAAAGTGAGCAAGAACTTCCTAGGGTTAGACAGCTTTCCCTGCCTCTAAATAACTTAGGAGTTTGCAAATTTGAAAAGAAAATAAATATATATATGTAAATTTTGATGCATAAAAAAAAAAAATGAAAAAGGACACTTTATCTTAGTAAATATCACTTACATGGTTGGTCATATGGAACTGGAATGGGTTGGCTCATATCAGCACTAGTTCCAACCAGACCAAGAGCTCTGTCGTGAACAGAGGCGAGATTTTGCTCTTGGCACTTTAGCTTCAACTGCTTCCTCAGCGATAATTTCTCTAGCTTCCTTTCAAGTCCTAAAATTAGAAAATATATCAGGCCAGTAAGACTCAGATTCCATACACATGAAATTTTACCCTAATTAGACTATATTGATACTTCAGGGAGGCGGTGGGAAAGATGATACTTAACCTGTGTTTAGGTAAAACATGTCATCCAGTGCCTCAAGACCTTTATTGCAACCACCAATAAATACAAGAACACCTCCCTTGACAGGATCCAAACAGTCCCCAGCAACGGAAAATCTAGCAGAAGGCCCATCACCAGCAGTTAGCACCTTGGTCCACACAGCAGTATCTACACCACAGTTAAGATAGAGTGGGTATCTAAGGATACAATTCCATAAAAATTAGAGCAATGGAAAGAACATAAAGTACATGTAACCGAAGGTGGATAGACAAGAAGGTTGAGAAGCTTCAAACAATCCATAAAGTAAATAGCCAAAGGTGAATGTTTCTAGGAATTTCTTGAAACTTACCAACATCAAGCATGTAAAGGTCACCATATAGATTTTGAGAGTCGTGAATCCCCCAAAAACAAATAAGTTCTTCCCAAAAGCAATAGTACAATGACCTGCTCGGCGTGTCATAAACTGGCCAGTAGTTTTCAGCTCCCTCCAAATTAGAGTATCTAATGAAGTACCATAATACAAGAGTTACAGAAGGTATATATCATATACAACATCCAGAAGCTAGGTACTATTGGTATCTAAATTACTGTAAAAACTTTAATAAACTTGCAATTGGGCAAAGAAATTTCAGAAAATAATGATACCTGTATCAAGTATATGGACATCAGACAAATAGTAATTGTGTGCATCTTCACCACCCATCACAATTAGTTTGTTCTTCCAAGATGAACAAGTATGGCTATCACGCAGAGATGGTGGGTTGCCTGATGTTGTAGCACGTTTCCATACAAACGTCTCTACAAGATAGGATAAGAAAATGGATTAAACATGTCTTATGTGCTATCTGTATCGATGAGTGACCTAGTTAAGTTGAGTGGTCAGGTTCTAGGTAAATGTAGATCCCCAAGGCAATTAAAAACTTAATGTGATGTCCTACACCTAGAACACTCCCTCTCTTCTTCCTCCCACTCTAGATTCTAAAAAGAACAAGGTGACAGAGATGACCCTGTGCAATCCTATAAACTCACAGCACGACAAGAGAAAGAGGACATGCAAATAAGTTAACTCTTAAGATCAATGTGAGTGGTACCATGCAAATGCATAATCATTATATTTTAACAACAAAACTGTTAGCAAGATGCACATAATAGTTATAGACTTTACTGAAAAGCATGCCAACAACTTCATTCCCTAAGAAGTCCCACATGCTATCCAAAAACCTATGCTAAAGTGAGATGTATCAAGCAAATAAACTCGTAAGATCCATGTGATGTAAATGCACAATTACTGTCAGAAAAAAGAGTGACGAAAGTAATTCAAACCAATCATCACCTAAGTGATGAATGTACTAACGTTACTCGGAAACCTACCTGTATTCAAAATGTAAAGATCATTGAAGTACACTTCATTGTCACTACTAGCGTATTTTCCACAGCCACCAAATATAAATAGCCGTTTCCCAACAAGGGCAGCACCATGACCATCTCGTGCCTCTGGTCCTTCGCCTCTTAAACTTGGAGATATCCATGTATGTAAAGCTACACAAACATTAAGAACATAAGCGGGCACATTGGTGGTATGCATAGTTCAGAAATCAAAATAAAGAATTTGATATAAGCCTTAAAAGGTCACGGTGTCAATAAGTGTTGAGAATTGAGTAAATCTGGTTACATAGTTTGAAAATCAATAATAACGAATTCGATATAAGCCCTAAACGGTAACAGCGTTAGTAAATGTTGAGAATTGAGTACATCTAGCTTCAACTCTTCGATATACCAATCCAAAATGGATAAGGAAATAAGTCAATTGTCACCCTGGACTTAGAATCGTCTGATTGAATTATTTATTTTCCAAAAAGGAACCATCTGATTGAATTACTTGACCCAAAATAACATATATAAGGGTGAGCATGCTATATAGTCAAGAAAAGATATCATCGCTAGGGAAAAAGCAAAAATATAAGAGAGAAAGTCACTCACAGGTGTCTAATATATGCAAATCCCCGAGAGGGTTCATCCCATCCGTACCCCCAAAGACGAAGAGATTATCACCAACAGTGGTGCAGCTGTGGCTGTCCCTTGGAGTTGGCGGGGTTCCCTTGATCGCTGGCTGGCTCCATGAATGTGTAGCTACAGTCAGCAGAATCAGAGAATTAACAATTTCAAAAACAATCTCTATATAAAATGCAACAACACACAGAAAAATGCAGAGTACTAGTTGTTAACACCTACAGAAAAATTTGAAACAAAATTAAAGAGCTCATCGTAGCACTATTCGAAATTTTATAACAAAAACAAATAACAAACAGTAAAGACACAAGGAAAACCACCTTGGGATGTTACCAACCACCTAATACTACGCAGGCTCATCAAACGACGGTTTTTAGCTGCCCCAATGTAATGTCTTTTAAAATGTAATAGCAGAAAAAAGCTTATAGCTTGTGTGCCTAAAGTAAAACCCATGAAACCTCTAGCAATCAAAATTCAACAGCATAACCCTATCAAGCATTTACTCAAGAATTGTTGCAGAACAATTAACCCGTCACAAAATTTGATTCCAATTTTCCAAAACAAGGCCAAATTTTACGAAATTAAACCCCACAAAACCCTAATTACAAGCCAACTCAAAACCCCTTAAACATTAATCAACATGGTTAATTACATAAAGATTCAAACTTTTGTCCCAGAAAAATCACCAGCAACCAACATTACACAAACCCACGGAAAAAAGGGTAAAAACAAAAATTAAACGAATAATCTAGGTAAATTTTTAGCATTTGGGGAAGACCCACCAGTGTCAAAGACGTGAACTTCATTGGTTGGGCAGTTTTCTCTGCCATAGCCACCGATTACATACAGCAACCGCCCTTCGTTGATTGCATTGCAGGTGTGGCCCCACCGCTTCCCGGGGCCATGCACCTCTGCCGCCGCCGCCGCCACTCTTTCTTGCTGCAGGTGCGCTTGCTTGGGCTGCAGCTGCACCCTCTCCCACTTCATTATCTTCTCTGGGTAAAAAAATTGGGAAGAGACCCAATTGGGTTAGAAAAATGGGTAAAGCAGTGAAAGATGCTGAATTACAGAGAAGAATTTTAATTTTGGGTTATTTTTTTATTTTAATTTGGGTTTTTGTGTTCCGGAATTGAGCTGATTTTATTATTCGAGTTCATGCAAATAAGGACATTGAATAATTAAAAACAATAAAAGAAAGGGTTCAAATAATAAAAAAATTTATTGTGATTGGAATACGATTAGTAAATTACGTGTTTTTATATATGATAAAAAATTTATTTTTTAAGTTATTAATTTTTTTAAACACACATATCAACATTTGTATAATGACACGTAATGTATCATTCTGTGTTTCGATTACATTGAAAAATCTATTTCGTTTCTTTATTAACACACTTGTAAAACTAGTTATTTCATATCTTTATTAATATATGTTTTGTAAATGATAAATTTTTTAAAATGAAAGATAAATAATGTAAGTTGAAATCTTCTTTTAGAATATTTTGAAAACTTTATTTCCATATGTAAAGATAGTTGAGCAATTTGATGAAACATTCAAACTTCTATGAATTGCCCTTTCTTATTAAATTAATAAGGGCTAAACATTAAATAAAAAAATTAAACGATCTTAAAATTAAGAATAAAAATGCCACGCAATGGTTGTTTTCATGGGTTGCTTCATTTCATTTTCAAAATAATTTTTTTAATATTCATAAAAAGAATTTTTAATAAAAAAAAATTAGAAAAAAAGTAATTTTCTAAATTAATATATTTTTTAACTTAACATAAGAAGGGCAATTGTGTGTGGCATGGGCCTAATTTTTATGGTAAATACATATGTTTGGAATTGTTTATTTTATGATAAAATAATATTAAATTATATGCAAATCTTTGAGAGGGTTCGCATCATCGGTACCTCTAGAGGCGAAGAGATAATCACCGCCAGTGGTGTAGTTGTGGTTGTCCCTTGGAGTTTGAAGGGTGTCTCCGGTCACCGGCGTCGGCTGCCTCCATGAATGCGTAACTGGTGCGGTGCCTCTTACCACCGGCGTTGACTGTCTTCTTGAATGTGTTCGTCGTTGTACGAAGATATTATCACCAGCCGTGGTGCAGTTGTGGCTATCCCTTGGAGTTGGTAGGGGCCCTCTGATCACCGGCGACGCCTGCCTCCATGAACTTGCAGCTGGTACGGTGCCTCTGATCACTGGCGCCGACTGCCTCCTTGAATGTGTTCGTTGTACGAAGAGATTATCACCAACAGTGGTGCTGCTGTGGATGTCCCCTGGAGTTGGTACGGTGCCTCTCATCACTGACGCCGATTGCCTCCATGAACCTCTGATCACAGGCGCCGGCTGTCTTAATGAATGTGTTTGATTTACGAAGAGATTATCACCGGCAGTGGTGCAGTTGTGATTGTCCCTTGGAATTGGTAAGTTGGCTCTGATAAAGGGTGACGGTTGCCTCCATGAAACTGCAATCAACAATTCAGAATAAGCAAATTAACAATCTCAAAATTAAACAATCTCTATAACATGCATTAATACACAGACATGAAAAATAAATAACTCACTCAAAGCAGTGTTCGAAATTGTATAACAAAAACAAATAACAGACAACAAATTTTCAGTAGAATGATATCTTAGTGCTTTACTTAGTTGTTAGAAGCGAAAAAAATCGGGCGCATAATAATGCATAAGCTAGCATGATTGTTTTCTGGTACTGTGTTGAAGTGTCATATGATAACCGATGAAACCCTCTAAAATCAAAATTCAACAGCTTACCCTACCCTATGAAGCATTTACAAGAATTGTTGCAGAAAGTTAATAATAATACTTGGCTACTCGTGGGATAAGTAAGAGTTCCTACTTAAAATCGTTCGTTACTGATTCACAAAATTTTGTGTTTATAATTAAAACCATTTATATAATAAATTACTAGATCGCCTTACAAAAAATCAATTAAAACTAAGGTTGTTTAGTTATTGATCCATATAAATTAAAACAAATGAATGGTAAAAATATTATGAACCGTTTCTGTATTTACTCCAATAAATTGACTTAACGACCTTAGCTTTAGTTCATTTTTAATTGTCAAAGATGATATTTATAGAGTGATCTATAAAATGAATGGTTCTTATCATAAACACAAAATTCTGTGAATTGAACACGAAAAATTTTGAGTAAAAGTTCCTACTCATCATTGATTAGCCAATCATTGTTCGAAAGAAAAACTTAACCAAAAAAAAGAAAAGAGCACGGTTCGAAAATCAACCCATCACATCGGTTGATTCCAATTTTTCCAAACAAGATGAACCATGAGTTTACCAAAGGGGTATGCATCCAAACATCAATTTTTACTTCTCAAACACTTTCTTAATTTATAGCCGTCGAATCGAGTGTATCGAAGAAGATTAAATGACAGAAATTAACAAGTAGTGTATGAGAAAAAAAAGGGTGTGTGGATAGAGAGCACACCCCTTTACCAAATTAAACCCACCCGAGCTACTTACAAGCCCGCAGAAACTCCCTTGAAAATTAATCAACATGAATAATCACAAAAGGATTCAAACATTTCCCCCAGAAAACTCACAACCAACCCTGCAAAACCAAGATTACACAAAATCGACTTGAAGAAAATAAAAAACAGAAAAATCAAACAAAAAATCAGGGGATTTGTTTTTTATTTTATTTTATTTTTTTCAGAATTTGCAAAGACGTGAACTTGTTTGGTCTGTCTGGTAGTTATCTCTGCCATAGCCACCGAACACATACAGCACCTACCTTCTCTGACAGAATTGCTAGTCTCACCCCGCCAGTTCCCGGACCCAGATGCCTCCGCCGCAGCCGCTTCTTCTTCTTCTTGTTGCCAGCCAGCTTGTCTGGGCACCAGCTCCACAATTTCGTACCGCATTTTTTTCTACAATTCTGAAGAAACGCCCAGTTGGGGCAGAAAAATGGGATCGAAAGATTGGGAATTACAGAGAATGGGTTATTGTGTTCTGGGATTGAGCAGATATTATATTTGGAGTTCATGCAAATAAGGACAATGAATAATTAAAAAATTAATAGAAAGGGTCCAAATAAGAGAGAGAAAATATGCTTTTTTCACTTTTTTTTAATGAAAGAGAGAAAATAAGTTTACGTAGGTGATTTTATTTAAAAAGTTAAAAATATAATAAAATGATATACACTGCATTAAACGTCAACAAAATTTGCTTTCTCATGTTTATTAAATTAAGTTTTGTTTTCTTTTAGCGAAAAAAAAAGGTTTAAAATAGCACATCGCATGTCAGAACTCTACATGATTTTGATTTAGACGTACTTATGATTGATATGTCGTACAGAAGTTATAATGTGATTTAATCAATAAAAGGATAACTAAGCGTACAATTAGTTTTGAATGAATACAATATTAGTTTCACTGATACAAATTTGGTTATATGATGACACGTTGTGTGTTTTCACTTCAGTTGTGTTTCATACAGTTGGACTTCAGTATCAATATCGTTAGATTGTTACGTACGTTGTTTTGTACAAATGTATAAGTACACAAAGCACCTTCACATGCAAGAAACTCAATTTATATTTAAAAACAGCAACCCTTTCGCGCGCTAACGCGGGTATGGATAGTATTCCTTTTACTTTTTGCACACAGGCTAACACACGTGCAAACATGTTTATTCTATCGTGAATCTTTTGTTATATTTGTTACCAGTAAAACTTGTTATTCAATTAATTTCTTTGGCAATATGATATTACATTCTAAATTGTAATAATTTATTGAGAGGGGATTCAAATATGAATGCAAAAGGATAAGCACATTGCCCTAGTCAATAAACTTAACTCACATCTAGAGAATCGTTATACGATTTTTGAAGTACCAAGTTAGGGATGTAGGGTTTAGTTGAACTATTGGTAATCGATGGAGAGAATGCAAGATAAATAAATGAAGAACTAGTTTAAAAGGTGATGCTACATTTATCATATTTATGCACTAAATGATGTGGCACATTCTATACTTTATAGATTTTTATTACAATTATTAGTCAACTTCCAATTTAAATTAAAGTACAAATTTAATTTGTGACATATCATTTAGTGTACAAATTCGGTGCACACAACATTATTCCAGCCTAGTTAAATTAGGTAGTTTGAAACATGGTTTTTTTTAAATGAAAGATAAAACTCATAAAAAATGAAGGATAAATACTGTAAACTGAGATCTTCTTTTTAATATTTTTGAAAATTTTATGGTAAATAAGTTTGTTTGGAATTTTTTATTTTTAGGTAAAATACTAAATACATTTTTGGGTATTTAAAACTTTTATGGTAAAATATATATTTTGGTATTTTTTAATTTTTATGGTAAAATATTAAATAAGTTTGTTTTGGAATAGAGGGGATATAATCCTGTTTCAGTAACGGATATTAGAGATTGTAAAAACATGCATGTGGGCACCACTTTCGTCAGAGAGATAGAGTCTGACCATTACAGGTTTAGGTGGACTAAAGATCAATGCTAAATTATCGCTAATGACATCCAAAAGCCCAAGAAAAATGTGAATGTCTGAATGCATTCGAGAAAATTTGCGGAATGAAAATGTTAAGAGATATTTAGACTTTTGACCACATTCATGTATCATGTGAGGTGGCAACTGAGGTGTGTATGTATGTCAATTAATGAGTTTCCATAGGAGGAAGAGTCTGACCGTTATAGTTACAGTTACAGGCCTATGTGGACTAAAAGTCAATACCAGATCGTCACTGATGACACCCAAAGCCCAAGAAAAAACATGAATGTCTGTATATAAGTACTCGAGAAAAATTTCAAAATTAAAATGTTAGGGAGATTTCAACTTTTGACCACATTCATGTACTATGTGAATTGGCAAATTAGGTGTATATATTGTGTCAATTAATGAGTTTCCATAGAAGTGAAAGTCCGACTGTTACAGCTACGGTTACAAGCCTAGGTGGACTAAAAGTCAATGCCAAATTGTCATTGATGACACCCAAAGCCCAAAAAAATTGTGAATGTATGTAAGTACTCGAGAAAAATTGGAAAAAAAAAATGCTAAAGAGATCACAAATTTTTACCACATTCATGTACCACATGATGTGGCAAGTG